TTCTTCCAGATTTTAAATTGTAGTATCAATGGTACAAGTAGAAAGTGGTGGAGGCGGCGGGACGGTGATTGAGATTGCTGTAGCAGAAGCAGCTGCAGCAGTAGTAGTAGCATAGCATTAGTGATGCTAGAATAATGACAGTTGTTGTGGCAATGTTTGAGTAGTGGTGGTAGTGTTGGTTGTCGTGGTAGTTAAATTGGCATGGTGGTTAACATACAATAACGGCTGCATGCTAATTATATATTTATGTTTAGACTGTTGGAAATGGACAGAAAAACAGCCGATTACTCAGATAAACAGTCAAGTATGAAACACAGGTCAAAGATTGCACATTTCCAAAGTTTGGAAAAAGCCACACAGGTATTGAAATGTTATATATTATCTATTCTCAAAAGAAAATATTATGTCTGAAAGTGTTATTTTATTGTCCGAAGTCGCACTTTTTGTATGAAATACAAATAGGATATTCTAGTTCTTTTCTATTAATTTTTTTCATCAAGTTGAATGAAAATAAATATTTTACACTATCAAATAGCCAATAGGAAATACGATAATGTTCATACAACAACATGAAAATAAATCCTATTTTAATAATAAATAGAAATAAAAAACTTGAATATTCTGTTCATTATATACTTTGCTCTATTTAACCTGGTAATTCGAAAAAATCCCTTTTAATTTTGTGTATAAGCTGAATTTCGAAGTTCGACATGACACCAATGAAAATACGAAACATAGGCTTCACTGCAGTTTAATATAAATTTTACAGTATAAGTATTGAAAATAAAAATACGCATTTCTTTCATCATTTTTTAGTTTTTTTTTCATTTACAAAGTTAATCTTATGATGTATGCCAATAATTTATGAGAAAATTGTTTGATAAAATATGTTTACTTATTAATTTCAAAAAATAACATAATGCTACTATAAACATTTTTTGTACGTATTAACTGTATAATTTTAAATCTGTTTATTCTAAATAGCCTCCACAAAAAAAACCCCAGACATTCCAAGAAAAAAATTCAACAAGCACAATCAGGTTTTATTTTCGTTCCTTAAACATAAACCTCGCCATGTTTTCTGCATATTAACTTGTTCTTGAATTATACGATTTTATGCTTTTTAATGTAATTCACAACTTTGTTTCATGTACAATATCACTATTAATTCTATTACTTTTTAAAAAATATAAAATGTAATTCTTACTCTGGTTTTGATATATTTTATCTAATGGCTGATAATTTATTCAGTCTTTGTTTTCCTGCATTTCATAATATTTCTGAAGTTTTTATAAATACCAGTAACACAAATCCATAAGCACATTTCTAAGATAATACCAAAAAAGAATCATCTTCAAAAATAATCAAGAAAATCACTTTTTATACATAATTATTTTCTTATTTCAGCTCCAACTCCGGATGATAAGTCCACTCAAAGTCAGTCACCAAAAGAGACAGACGCGTTTGATAAGAAGTACATGTGATATAATGATATTATTTTGTGAATTCTTTTGGTCTTATTTTTACATTCATGTGATAGGGCGAGCAAAAAAAAGTTAATATATTTTTAAAACTTAAGTATTTAATGTGGATAATGTATAAATTTCTATGCACAAAATATGCAAGTGAAAGATTCTACTTAACTCGTGGATGTTTGGGTCTTTACTTACCGTGTTTGTGTATCTTTAGCTAATTTCTTGTAAATCGTATTACGCTCTTTAACGTAAAAAACAATTTTCAGAACACTTTCCTAAAGAAAACAGATGATCTATATTTTTCATTATATATAACGCATTTTAATGGAACGACCAAACAGAAAGTATTATAATTTTGTATTTAAGGCAATATTAGACATTGGAAAAGACGCCTAAAAGAAATGATACATATACCTGGTCCATTTTTTTTAAAGGAGGCTATCACACATAAATCATTTGTCTTTATTGGAATTATTATTATAAACATCATCATTATTATGCTTCTTGATAAATTAATCTCTTTTTTAAAGATGCTTGTATTTTTACTGAAAACAAACGTATCAAATCTATGTTATACATTTAGAACCGGCAATGAATTCGACAAAGAATTACGTGTAAAAATGGTAGACGTGTCTGCCAGTCAAAGCCGGTAAGTCTTTATATAGATGTATTATTTGAAGACAATAGATATAAGAAAATGTTAAATAAAAATATTTTTCTAATGTTTGTCATTCCCGCCACCAATGTCGTTGACTTTGCTTTTTTGTATTTATTAACTCATACTTGTGCAAGGCGACGTTTAGGAGTTATATATGTTTTCCTTTTTTGCTGATTGTTTTAATTCTGATTAGTTTGAGAATTGCCATCCATTGGTTTCCTTCCTCTTATATGTTTTAGAGCATATATTGAAAATACAACGTCAAATCAAAGTCAAATTTCATAAAACAAGAACAAAAATATTATATAGATTTGCTTAGATAAAACAATTAAAACAATTTGTGATAATATTTGCAGCAGGTGGTCTCCAAATGAAATGGAAATATTCCAACATCCCATGTGCTTGATCGGTGCCGAAAATGTAAAAAACGAAATTGGAGAAGAAACTAAAATACTTTTAAAGAGCGAGGAACAAGTGTTTGATCAAATAGCAAAGATAGATTGGCCAATGGTTGTTGTAGCCGTCGCGGGTGTGTACAGAACTGGAAAATCGTATCTAATGAATCGTCTGGCGGACTCGAGCAAAGGTAATTAAAAAAATTATGTCAGTGTAATACATTCAGTTTCAAACAATGGCAAAATTCACAGAACGAGATCGTTTTTAAAGTCAAAAATAAATTAAAATGTTATTTTGATAGATACAATATTATATCGCAAGTATATTGTTATTGCCGTTATGCCCAACAAAGAATTGGAAGCTTAAGTTTTGATTTTGATAATGCTGGTTTAGGTTTCGCGCTGGGAGATACGATTGAATCAAAAACCAAGGGCATTTGGGCATGGTGTAAAATACATCCCAAATTATCGAACACTGTTCTGCTGCTTCTTGATACCGAAGGACTTGGCGATGTTGAAAAGGTATGCAAAGTTTATTCAATAACATTTGACGGTGAAAGGTAAAATATTATTTATTGTACAACATAAATCAAAATCTAAATTTACAATTAAGTTCCATCAACAATGGGCAAATACATTTGCAGGTATATTTAATTCAAGTTTTAGACGCTTCATTTGTAAACTTATTATCAAAATCATTTTGTAACCCTAGTACGGTTCATTGATGTTTCGAGGAGCATTTTAAGGATCCCCCTCTTATTTTCAAACTGTCTGCAGGCAAAATATATACTGCTTCATAATAAAATATCATACGGACAACTATTTGCAATAAAAGCCATAATCTCCGACAGATTCAGGTGATAGCATATACAAATTCAGAGAGGTAATTCACACTTGACACAATTATCGCTGAGTAAGTTTATCTGTCATGCATGTGCTTAACAAGGAACATTGAAATACAATAATTTTGCAAGCAATGTTATATTAAATCTAAATATATAGTAACTTGTCACTTTTCGTTAAACAAAAGAGGTTGGCTATTCTGAAAGACAAAAATACCTATTCGAATCGATAGCATTGCAACTGTTTTCAGTTTGTGAACCATTATAATATATAGTATCTAATGCATATCTGATTTGCATAATGTTCTCTCCTTTAGATTTATATATTTTGACTAATCTTGTCGACGTAATTCACTGTGTTTTATGGAACATGGAAATTGTAGTAATAAAAAAGACAATTACGTTTTAACACGTATGTTAAGTTAAGAAGGAAACGTAGATGTATAGTGGTAAGGTTTTAGTGAAATTTGACTATGAATTGATAATGTTGGTTATTAAAAGAAGTACATGTTATAAGACCTTAAGTCTATGGGATACATTTAAGCTGGTTTTACATATACTTGTACAGATTCTGACACAGATATTATCACTTCTATTTTTTAAAACAAATATTGAATACTGCTTCAAAGCAAACGTGTCACTTTCAGTACATAATCATTAGTAAACATAGATATAAGGCCCAACAATATGTCCTTTTCACATTATTGCGTACAACTTAACTCGTTTGGCTGATATTTTCATTTGACAGGGTGACCCAAGTCATGACAACAAGATTTTTACTCTAGCGACACTCCTTTGCAACTGTTTAGTTTACAACATGAAGGGAGCTTTTGATAACGACGCCGTCTCTAAACTCACGTATCCTTTTCTCTTTTTTAGAAAAAAATGTTTAACATTGTTTTAAAGGTATTAACTATAACCTTTGATCAAACAATAATTTATTATTTGTATTTAGTCAGATTGTTGTTTTTTTGCATTCCTATGTAAGGATAAATTAATTAGATATTTCCTGGAATCTGTGTGTGGTTAAAATGCGTAAAATGCAAAATTAACATTCGGGGAAAATAATAAACTTAGCATGTTTTATCTTCCCAATGATAATACCTAGTATAGTGCTAATATCTTTGTTTCCCCCACAGCTGGGTTGTTGCATGTATTTCAAGCTTTGTCTTGTGTAAGCGTCGAGGAGCAAGCGAGGTTAAGTCGATGCCCTTAGTCACAAGGACACGGGGGCTTCTTGCATGTCAGGAAATCATCCAGTTAGCTTAAACAATGTCAGTTATTCTACTCTGATACTTGCATGTGTCCGATAAAATGCACAAAGGGACACCTGAAGACTTCGTCCACTTATAAAGCTGGAGATTCACCGGTGTCGTTGTAACTTAAAATCAAACAAAACACGAACTTGCAAGTTAATTCAAATTGTCACTGTAAAACTTGACAAGACTCATGCAAATAAAACATTATATTACATAATAAGAAAATGGGTACCTTGGTCATCACTGGTGTAAAAGTACTGTGTGAACGTTCCATTATTCTGATACCAAAGATTTTATTTGTAAAAAGGCAACTTTTTGAGTATTCATAGTATTATAATCTTCAAATGAATGAATAAATGAATGAATAAATGAATGGATGAATGAATGAATTGATGGATGAATGAACGAATGAATGAATACAGACAAAACATATTTATTCTAATTATAAGTATTCAATTCTGTTCAAGATAATTCTGTAAAAATGTAATATTACTCGTAGACTTTGTATATAATAGCTTAACTAAAGTATCTCAGATTTGTTACAGAAATGGCAAGTAATATAAGATATCGTGGAAAATCTTCTGAGGATAATGAGTTAATCAATCTAATAATTCCTGACTTCGTTCTCTGTTTGAGAGATTTCAGTCTAAAATTGATAAAAGATGGGAACAAGATAACAGAAAACGATTATCTTGAGCAAAGTTTAGCGGAGAATAAAAGCAAAGCAGACCAGTTCAACAAACCAAGAGCATGCATCAGAAAATACTTTACGAAACGCGAGTGCTTTGCTTTCCCAGTTCCGGGTGATGCTGATGTTCTTGAGAATCTTGAAACTTTGAGCTTTACCCAGTTATCTACCAGGTTCAAGGACGTAACATCTCGATTTACATCCTTCATATACTCAATACCACCTAAGACGTTGGTTATCAGTAAACCAATAAATGGACAAAGTAAGTTGTAAATGACCATGATTATTGAGAGTATGTCATTTAATCTTGACATATATACTCAGGATTAATTTTAGTGCTTTTTTCCATGCTTCTTTATTGTTTTATCTAATAACTTATAAACTGAATAAAAACAAAACATCTACGAATATCTGAATGCAAAAAAAACAAAAAAAAACAAAAAAAAACAAAACAAAAAACCAAAAAACAACAACAACAGAAACACATATTAAGTTTATGAAATACCATATTAATTACCCAAACGTTTCCGTAAAATATTTAACAAGATTTTGAGGTTATTATTAGAACTTGACATTACAGCTAATTATTCTGATGCGTCTTCTGTATTGATTCATATTAATCCCACATACCAGATAGCTTGCTGATTTATTCAGTCAATCCGCATTTAGAAATAATGGGTTATCCTTATGCAGTCAGCAATGCCTCATAAACGATTGCTTTTGAACTGTCCATGCCTTCTATATATAGAACTGATTTTGAATACAATTTCAAAATGTCTAATGTCTTTCTTCAGTTTATGGATCTTTAAATTCTAAAGATTTCTTGATTGTTCTTCCTTTAAATGAAAGCTTAGTATTTTACCAACCTCTCATTTCTTTACTACATTTTTTTCAGAATTTTCTTTTTATCTTATAATGATAATAACTTGAGCATTTATTTTCATTATTTTCCTAGTGTTCGTTTCACTAGCTACCCACTACGTAACAGCTATCAAACACGGTGCTGTCCCAGATGTTGATGATGCATTTACAGCTGTAGCGAAAATAGAGAATTCTAGAGTTGAAAAAGAGGCTCTAGATATCTTTGAAAATGAAATGGAAAAAGTAATGCTGCCAATATCTGAAAACGATTTGGGGAAGCGTTACACAAGCATACAAAAGATAGCGCTAGATCATCTCCGACAGAATGTTGTACATGACTTTCAAGCGAAATGTGAAATGCAAGCTCAGGTAAAAGATCTTCAATAAATTTATTCCGACAAAGGGTTGCCCAAGTTTTCGTTTAATTTAAAAGTTAAGTTAATTTTTTAACATCCATTATCATTTTAGTTTTAATGATATTTTATCTTCTTTTCTACGATAAGAAATTACACTAGACAGATACAAATTATCCTTTTTACATGTCTGAAAATTTACAATGAAAAATGTGCTCTCTCTATTTAAACAGATAATTTATATACAGATATGCCAAACGTTTTTCTAACGATTTCAACAGACATTTCAAAAACTGTATAAAAATGATAAAAGTTCATTTCAATGTATTTTACCGTACGAGCTACATATTAAAAACAGTATTTCTATGAATAAAGCGTCAAATAGCATGTGCTAAAAGTTTTCCTTTATGAAAAGATAACGAATGAATTATATGATGCTTACAAACTCCATATCAATGAGTATAAAATGTTAATTATGATTTGTTTGGTAAAATTTAGCGCCACATCAACACTGTTAAGGTCAGTTGGCAATTTTCCAGCGCTACAGATGCCAATCCGCGATTTTGTAATCAACCATGTATTATGTTTCTAAATTGAGTAGATAATTGCTTGGTTTAGCTACTTTTAATTTAACAAACAAATCATATTTTTTATAAAAGATAGGCGGAGCATATAGTGCAGCAGCTCCTTTCAATTATCAATCCTATATTTGTAAAAAAAATCATGACATGTCATTTATCGACGGATTTTAAAATGATCTCTTGAACAAAATATTGAAACAATGAGCGCAAGACAGATCAATGTCTGTTTATCAAATGCCAAGGTAACACTTGACCTTTGTCATATTTAAAGTATATTGATGTCCGGCCAACTGTTCATTTTCTCAGGATGGATAAAAGATAAATATGCTTGACTGTGTTGGACAAGAACTCGACTTGTCGCACTTGAGACACATATCTCAAGCTTAAATGTCATTGTCAAATATATACATCAAATTATATGATCATAGTGAATAGATGTTCCCGTAAGGTGCAATACTTTGTTATTTATATACGGTTTTAAAATAATCATACATTAGCTATCTCTATATGATATTCCACAAGCCATAACAAGGTTGGTGCTCAAATAAAAGGTCGCATTAAACTTGAAATGACATTTTTCATTAACGTGTTTAGATGTTTATTTCCAGTTAAGAATCGGGTCATTCATTAAGGAATTTCGAAATAAATTTGCTTTTTAAATGTCTTGCATATTAAGACGATGTGTTGCTGCCTATAACAATGGTTAATGTCAAGCTTAAATGTCAAATGGCCAGTGTTTAACACGCAGGAAAATAAAACCCGACAGTAAATCTATAAGATTTGAGAAAATAAAAAAAAAAACTTTTGTGATATGATAGTTATTTAAAAAAATAAATGCTGAATTTGAAGTGAACAACGTTGTAGTTTAAACGACAATGGTCACTGAAAGGTTTTTAAGTTACAACCAAACAAAAGAACTTTGGCTTCAATCTATGTTGTCCTTTTTATGGAACTTTTTGTTAGGAAGACATAATTTGTGTTGCTCATTAAACTTACCTCGTAAGGCAGCTTGAAAGGTGACGGTTATACTTTGATGCAGAAATAGTACTTTGTTGTTTGTGTCTAGTAATATCATTGTCATTCGGTCAGGTATGTTTGAAATAATTAGGCACACTGAAAATAACAGCCAATGTTTGTAAAATGTTTCTTCATTCTTGTCCCGAGCAAATGTCATATTTCTTAACTTGAAAAGTATACAAATTTTATCAATTACAAACATAACATTTTTATAATTTTGTTCGGGTGATTAAGATCGCCGACTCCATATCATTTGGCTGTAAACGATTATGGTTCGATTTCTGTCATAGTCTTGGATTCTTTTGTGAGAAAAAGATATCCAGGTAGCTATTGGAAGGTTTCTCAGGTGCTTTTGTCTGAATCCATGTATGATAGGCACCTAAGGTCTTTTACCACCAGAAAACCTTAATGGTGTCGGTGTGACTGGAGTAAACTAGAAATAAACTACAAAGTATTTATTTCTTTACAGAGGAAAATGGATGCAATGTGGGGCAAGATAAAAACAACTAACGAGGAAAAAGTTAGAGAAAAATGTGAGAATACATTGCATAGTTTGTCTATGAAGTATCTTCGCAATAATATAGTAAATGAAGAATATGAAAAAGCAGGTGGTCATCGGAGATACAAGCGTGATATGGAAAGAATCAAAGATGAATACGTCGGTGTGCTAAAAGACTTCAAGGAGAACGAGGTTTACGAAATTTTGATATTGTCTTTCTATATTTCCTTATCTTCTTAATTTTTATTGATTTTATCGAAAATGTTTACGATTATTGGGACCGAATTAATAATACTTACCAATTCAAAAGTAAAATTCCTTTTGTTAGATTATATTTTATCTAAATCTTCAAGTGTAAAAATAAATAGAAGCACATATATTTTGTATGCAGCATTGTGCAGTTGGCCTTATCTCATGCATCATGAACTTAGAGTTGAAAATGGCCCCGCTCCGGTGCCACTTGTTTCTTTGCCTTTTCTTTTTATTGTTAGATATTCCTTACAGAAACCACGGTGCTTAAACAGTCGATATTTGATTTTGAGCATAACCGTATGACCTTAAACATTTCTAAGAAATAGTGAAAAGCCCTAAAGAAAGCCCAAAACGGCAAAATTGTAAAATGTTGCAGGCTCGGTTTTATTGAGCCTGTTCATGGACGGTAATGGAAAGTGCAAGTTACCGTCCACGCCCCCTAGCACAGGCTTAAGCAGAACACTAAAATGGTGAAATTTTAAATTTAGAAACATCCGCAGATGTATTCATACGGCGGTTATCATGGAACCTTCAATGTGACACAGTAGTGTCATTCCATGAAAAGCGGCGTATGGTCCCCAAATAAAAGAATGCGTGTGCCCTAAACGAGAAAACAATGGGCGGAACTAAATAAAATGGAATTTTGAAAGGGGATCTGAGGTTATGAAGCCTGCATATCACAGATAAGACGTCAAAAGACAAATTTAAAAAGCAGGCGACATATCCTAAGGCTGATTATACAGTATTCAAGTAGGAATACTGGAACCACCCAAATTGAAAAGGCGAAAAACAGAAAAACTGAAATACCATGTAAAATGTATACACAGCAATAATGTCGTGCTGAACGGTCTTCAGGGATCGAAAATATAACATCATTGATTAAATGTACGATTAAATGTAAGAGTCACTTTGTTTATATACTGAACTTGATATGCAACCACACTTGAATGGTCTTGTGTAAAGAAGATAGTTTCTTTAGTATGTAACATTGCCTTGTAAACATTCTTAAAATGATGCCAATTGTGGTTCAATTAAAAAAAACTCCATTACAATGTAAGTGAATGACTTTCTAGTGTTAAACACATATATTATGACATTTTCATGACATTATAGCTCTCTTGTGCTTCTCTAAAAACAGAACCTCAAACAAAATTACATAACATTTATTTTTGAAACTTTTCAAAGAAATAATAAAGTAATCATACTGTAAAGATCGATTTATTCTTTTCATAGATTTTATCTTCATGGTATGGATTTGTAGAAAGAATGACTTCTATTGTTAAATATTTATGACATTTTTTGCAAATTAACCTGATATGAACGATCTCATGACTTTATAACTCTCTTGCGTTATTGTGGTTCTCTAAAGTAGAACCTCAGAATAAATACATAACATGTATTTTTGATACTTTTCAAAGAAATAATAAGGTAATCATACGGTAAAAACCTATTCATTCCATTTATAGATTATATCTACATGGTATGGATTTGTAGAAAGTATGTCCAAAACTGAAGCCAAAATAGTTGAAGCTGATGAAAACTTGTCACAGCAGGAGAAAGAAGGTACTTGATTATTTCTTTAACTTAAACAAAGCTTCACTATTAGCTATTTGATACTCCCATGTTGAAATTATAATGACTCACTTAGGCTCAAACTTTTTATACCGGTTTCTCCACTCCCCGTCTCATCTTCAACGTCAGCATAGCTTATAATCTAAGATTCACGACAATTCATTTTCAGCCGAGCAAAAACGAAACAAAGAAGAACACGACGAATTATTGAAGAAACAACAAAAAGCTCAAGAGGATGCGTTAAAACAACAGCGACAAGATTTGGCAAATCATTACGAAAAGTTAGAAAAAGATCGCCGTGAACAGCAAGCAAAAGATCAAGAAAAGTATAAAACAATGGTGACAGAAAGGTTGGAGAAGGAAGCAGCACAAAATGAAGTTAAACGCTTACAAAAGCAACAAGAAGATGCAGATAAGGAAGCCAAACGCCTTAGACAGGAACAAGAAAAAGCTCAAGAGGAAGCTAAGAAGTTAAAAGACAAAGAAATAGAGAGGAAACAAAAGTGGTTTGGTGCAAGTATGTGGAATGCGTTTTGGAAAAACGACTAAACCATAAACATTTTTATTTATTTAACATGCTGAGAATATTTTTAGATTTTAATTTTAACCCATGTGTTTTGCTTTTGAAGAAGATATCCATGTTATTTAAATTTGCTTTGCTGTGTCATAATACATGTGGTATTGCGTTATTAAAACGTGTGTTTACCGTATAAGTGGTTTTTTCCGGTTTATTTCTGCGTTTTCTGCGGTCAGTTTCATGACCGCAGAAATAAAAACCGCAGAATATTTCACTCATCTGCTACGATATGTGTCCTGCATTATGACCTGTTTCGTCTACAGTAATAACGACTAACGTATTAAAACGGTAAGGGGGTTTTCAAATTGTATTAAATTGCTGTAGGCTTATTATGTAATCTGTGTTTTTAAAGGACGTACTAATTGTTAATGATGCTATTTTAAGAATATAGATATTTCAAACCATTTCAACCCTTATACTGCTAAATAATCGTCGTCAACTATAATTGTCATCTGATTTACGGTCAACTGCTATCAACTTTTTAATTATACAATTAAAGATACTACAGGGTTATATTTTTCACACGTCATTTCACGATGATCAAAAGCTGCATACCTTTCTATTGTTGCACATTATATTTGTTTGCAAGCAAACAGTACATTTGTTTGTAATTACTTTATTGTTTTGCGGTGACGAAGCTAAACAAATGTGTACGTGCGAAAAAAATAGGTTGAGAAATGTGACTAAGATTTTGATAAGACGAGTCGCAGAATTTAAATCACGTTTTGTCCAAAGAATGTGCCGCAGAAATAAAGTCCGCAGAAATGAAAACATGCCAAAATTTGGAAAAACCGCAGAATTTGGAGCCCGCAGAAAAAACCACTTATACGGTATCTATTTTTTAATTCAATATTAAAGTTACCCAAGATGAGGAATTTATAACAGTTTTGTATCTATCAATAAAGGCATGAATTTGGAAAATACCAATTTTCTGGTTGTTTTAGTTTCATACACTATGACTTAAATGTGTATTCCTATATAAACCAAGTGACCAAAATTGTTTACCAAAGACGCATGATTATTAAAGAAATCCTAAAGGCACTGGGCATTGTAGATCTACACAAACAATCTTAACTGCGATTGCCTGAATACGTTTTTATTAACTTAGTGATATTTTGATCAAATGGGGCATGTGTAATTTCAAATCTTCAAAGGTCCACAAAGCAATGTTAAATGAAAAATATCTAAGCTTTTGATATTTTTTTGATATTTTACTCCCACACTATGCTGCATGTCAAAACCTCTGCGTTTTGTTTTTTTCTACTATAAGACTTTAATTAGGTGTCTTTATACATGTAAAAGGTGCATAACAATATACGCCTAAATGTTTAGGCCCTATTGCAAAATAAAAAAAAAGACTTGTAAGTAGCTTTATTACAATATGTAGGGACATCTGCATGCAATTGATTAAAAAAAAGAAAGTATGAACAATTACATATTGTCTTCAAATATTTCAATTCTTATTCATGGCGTGTTGTAGTTTTAAAATCTGTCAATGTGTTTCACATTCAATTTTCAGTGTAGTTGACAGATTAAATAGCAAATCACGTAACACATACATGGCATACATAGTAACGGCGACCTGGTTATATTTTCAATAATAAATTATGAATATAGACTGTGCAATCGTTTGACGTTAACGTTTCTTACAAAGAAGAGTAATGAAATATTTATAAGCATGGCAGCTCAACCCAGTTGCCTTCCTTATTACAATATGAATCCTTTAAAAATATACTGTAACAAACCTATTTAATACATAGCGACCTTCAGATATTTGGTCCATATTCTAGCGAAATATGCTTAATTAGTCGAACCAGGCCTGAACCTGACAAATGCAAATAAAATATATCTAAAAAGGAGTCTTTCTTTACACCAATGCCATTTAACTTGGCATCTATTTTAATTGTACCGCAGTGCAATAAATTTTAATGAGTTTCGAGAATCAAAATCTATCTAGATGTTCTAAAGTATATTCAAACATGTATGCTAGTCGACACTGTTGTAAGTGGTTTGTATTTTTTCCGAACCACGGAAAATTGAATAAGCTTTGTCTTAAAAAACATAGGTGTTATTTATATTATGATGTAACTTGTAATAGACCAACGAGACATCAAAAGTTCAAACGGCTCTTTTAAGAAAAAGATAAATTAATAAAACAAAAGGGCCATGATGGCCCTGAGGTTGCTCACCTGTAAAGTGGCCCCGCAGCGGGGCCAGTTTTAACCCTAAGGCTTTTATTTGAACAAACTTGGAAGATACCCATTAGATGATGTTTCATGTTGTTTAGATTTTACTACACACATATAATGAAAAACAATGACCTGCGGCCCCCCCCCCCCGGCAGGGCCAATTTCAACCCAAGGGCTTTTATTTGAACAAACTTGGTAGACACCCATAAGAAGATGTTTCATGCTAAATATCTAAGCTCAAGCTCATTGGGTTTTTTAAAAGAAGATTTTTTATGTTTTTACTATACAAATATTTCTAAAAACAATGACATCCCAAGGGCGGGGCCGATTTGACCTCAGGGCTTTTATTTGAACAAACTTTGTAGACACTTACTAGAAGATGTTTCATGCTTAATATCTAAACTCTAGCTATTTGGGTTCTTTCAAAGAAGATTTTTAAGTTTTTGCTATACACATGTAAGGAAAATTAATGACACCCTGGACAGGAGCAATTTTGACCCCAGGGCTTTTATTTGAACAGACTTTGTAGACACACACTAGAAGATGTTTCATGCTTAATATCTAAACTCTAGCTATTTGGGTTTTTTCAGAGAAGATTTTTGAAGTTTTTACTATACACATATAAGGAAAATAAATGACCCCCGGGGCGGGGCCAATTTTGACCCCAGGGCTTTTTTTTTTAACAAGCTTGGTAGACACCCATTAGAACATGTTTCATGCTAAATATGTTAGCTCTAGCTCTTTGGGTTCTTTAAAAGAAGATTTTTTAAGTTTTTACTATATGCATATAGGGACAATCAATGACCCCCTGGGGCAGGGTCAATTTTGAACCCAGAGCTTTTATTTGAACAAACTTGGTAGACACCTATTAGAACTTGTTTCATGCTAAATATCTTAGCTCTAGCTCTTTGAGTTCTTTAAAAGAAGATTTTTTAAGTTTTTACTATATGCATATAGGTAAAATCAATGACCCCATGGGGCGGGGCCAATTTTGACCCCAGGGCTTTTATTTGAACAAACTTGGTAGACACCCATTCGAACATGTTTCAAGTTAAATATCTTAGCTCTAGCTTTTTGAGTTCTTTAAAAGAAGACTTTTTAAGTTTTTACTATATGCATATAGGGAAAACCAATAACCCCTGGGGCGGCAAATTTTGGCCCCAGTGTTTTTATTTGAACAAAATTGGTAGACACCTACTAGAAGATGTTTCATGCCAAATATCTAAGCTCTAGCTATAAGGGCTTTTTACAAGAAGATATTTAAAGTTTTTTCTTTCGGTTGCCATGGCAACCAGAGTTCTGCATGGAATTAAGTTCTTTGAACAATTTTTAAAGGTGACCACCAAAGGAACATTCCTGTGAAGTTTGGATAAAATTGGCTAAGTGGTTTATGAGGAGATGTCATTTAAAGTAAAAGTTTACGGACGGACGGACGACGGACGGACGACGGACGAAAAGCGATCACAAAAGCTCACCCTGTCACTTTGTGACAGGTGAGCTAAAAAGTAATAAAGTAGTTGTATGAAATTGGATGAAGTAGTTGTAAGGACATCGTTAAGTTTAAAATGGTGTAGCTTAATCATTTTATCAAATAACTTCTACCTGTTTATATAAAGCTTGTCAATTGTATGCCAATACATGATCGACGTACCAATATTTATGATCGAAATCATATTGCTACATTTTCAAATTGGGGTTTAAAGTAAAACCAACTTTCATCATCAGTCATAATATTAGGTAAACGGCGAGTGTCATGGAAATATTTTCATTCAGTCATAATATTAGGTAAACGGCAACTGTCATGGAAATATTTTCATTAATATTTGAGGGCATTTAGCATGCTCCTTCTTCCGGTCAGATGAAAGCAAATGGGAGATCCATTTGGCAGTTATTCGTCTAAATTTCAAGTAATTTTTTTAGAATCGAGCTGACCCTTTTAATTTGCCTGATATATGGTCTATCATGGTAGGTAAAATAATGGCCTGTGTGTCAGTGATCAGCTTGACTTTACAAATGTTTTATTAGTAACCGTGGACCGTTAACTACCAGAGTTACAAGCATCTTTAATTGACTCGTGCCTATTTTTGAATTCATGCATCCAACTCGAAACATTGCATAAGGTATTGCATTGTCGGCATAGATAACACGAACAATCATTATAAACAATTATGGCAGATTGTCCTATTTGTGCTCCATCTTTTATGTAAGCCTGTATTCAAGCACTTAAGCTAGCTTTTATCAGCCATAATTACATTATTACATGAAGTTACTCGGGGAAGGTATTGTAAATTTAAGTTAAATTCCTACACACACATGATTTTGTTACCTGCTTTGAACCAAAGCTACGTTTAACATAAGCACAAGAATTACGTGCTTAACTAGAAAATAGACATCATTCTTATTGAATTACATATTTAGCGATTTTCTGAACTAATCATTTTTTTCTTTCACCAAATCTGACAATCCAACTCAACTCAACTCAAATCATTTATTTGTACATAAAGGCCTCCGGCCCAAAATACATCATAAGGTATAACATATAATAAAATGTCAAGAGTTGTATATTTTGAAACTTAAGTATCATTTATTATATTCATAAGTTGATAGATGTAAATAGATATATTTTTAACAATGTCAGGGTTTTGAGAAGACAAAAGAGCATAGAAATCTTGAAGGTCTGTTCCATGTATATACCAGCTAAATAAATACATTTGTCTGACAGTATCATATTTAACACATTTATTCAAGGCATGGTATTCACAATCAATTACGAGTACATTAGCATTATTAAACTGTTGGCAAACGTTACATATACGATTTTCTTTTATTACATTAATATATCTACCTAATTCAATATTCAGCCTGTGATTTGAAAGACGAAACTTTGACCTAGGAATTCTATATTTTAACTGAATATCCATAGTCAAATATTTTTCAACAGTAAGTA